TCTAGATAGATATATCTAGATAGATATATATATCTAGATAGATATATCTAGATAGATATATCTAGATAGATAGATATATCTAGATAGATATCTAGATAGATAGATATCTAGATAGATAGATATCTAGATAGATAGATATCTAGATAGATATATATCTAGATAGATATATATCTAGATAGATATATATATAGATAGATATATAGAGATATATATATAGAGATAGATAGAGATAGATAGAGATAGATATAGATATATAGTCGTGCCAATGCTGTCACACTTCATTTGTGTGCTTCCAATAACATTTTCCCGCACAGAAACTCACGTGCACACACAGTTGTGTAGGAGGGGGACTTGTTTCAGTGAGGGCCCGGGACGGCAGAGGAAAGCCTGCGAGCAGCTTCTTGTTGGGGCTTTTCCTAACGCTAGAAAAATATATTTATATACTGTGTACTGGAATGTAAGAGAGCAGAACCTTGGCTAATAAGATGCTCAAACACGAGCATTAGAGGATTGGTACTCACCAATAGTCAATGAAGCTTTTTCTTTATCATATATTTGATCCAGGGTTAGCGGTTCAGAAAGAGATTAATTGATTCTGTGAGCAAAGTCTCTTCCCCTCTCTCTGTGGGGGGATTCTGGCAACAGAGATCCCAGTAGCCCCCCCCAGGAAATTAGTCGAGCTGCCAGTTGTTTGCGCGTGAAACGCCAGGCGACAAAACACACCTCCTTTGACTGTCAGCTTTAAATTGGAAAAACAAAACAAAGACGAGGTACCCGTCTCTCACGGACTACGTGCGACTGGCAAAGCGTGTACAGTTGCAAGCGCGCGCGTGTGCGAGCAGCAGGTGGGCCAGCTGTGACTGACACACGTGGCTAAGTGCGCTGACAGCCGAGGGACCGCAGAGGAAGAAAGCGGTGGAGCCGGATGGAGAGGCGAAGAGGAGGGGAGACGGATGGAGATTTGACAGATTCGAGGTGTCTTGGGGGGGGTAATGACGGGACGGGGTAACTTGGAGTGAGTGTTTGCGAGATGAGATGTGAAGGTGTGGGTGTTGCCGACCGGCCGGTTAAACTGACGCGCTTTGACGCATTTCTAATAAAACTCAAAACGACATCCGAAGCGGGACCACGTGGTCTCCTCACAGACTCAGATCCGCCTCCTTCAATTTGCTACATCAGTCTTTAAAAGGAGGCTCCCGCGCTCATTCTGGAGGAGCACGACTGTGTGTCATTGATACATGCAAGACTGGACTAATGGTTGTTAAACACAAAGAGATGATTATTGAATCACAACACAAGAGGAAAACCTGTTGGAGCTTTGCAGCACATGATAAAGATGTTATTGCAATTAGCACGGAAATGACTCCAACACTTTATTTTAAACCCACAGATCTTTAATTTGCAATTATATAACATGACATTAGAGAAAAGCAGCAAATCCTCACATTTAAGGATCCAGTGTATCTTTTGCCATTTCAGTTTGATAATTATGACCAATTATCAAAACTGTTGCTCTATCAATCAATTGACTAATAGTGCAGCTAATAAAAAAAAAAAAAAAAAGACGTCAACGCACTATAGTGTAGTTGTAAACCGTTATCAGGATATTTCAAGCGTTTATTAATGTATTTTTTTCAACAATTATAACTTGGCATCTATAAACTGACTATGAACAGATAATGAATGAATAAACAATGTTTTTGTCCCCCAGAGAGCACGGACAAGCTGGTTTTTAAAAATGTCCCAGAGAGTATGTATCTTGTTGACATTAAAAAAAAAAAAAAAAAGTATATCATCAGTTAATGTTCTAGCTTTCGGCCCATTTAATTATCTGATTTAATGTGAACCCTCAAATATCCGTGCAGGCCGGGCTGTAGTTGTTACATTTTGAATCAACATGAAGTGTGGTGTTTTTTCTTTACTATACTTATTAAAAACCTGGAGTACATGGCCCGACAGCAGTTACCATTTCTAAACCTGAATGAGCCGTTTGTGTTTATAAACAGTTAATAAACGCCTAATGTCACACTAGCATTTGTTCACGTGTGTCGTCATATATCAGTCGTTCATTAACTGTTTATACACCAGTCATAATTAAATTAGTCATGAATTAGTTAGTGTTTTATAAACCATTTATTAAATGTTTATGTACGGCTTCTGAATGCTCAATAGTGGGGCTAAAATAAGGCGTTGACAAATGAAAAACACCCAAATATGCGACCCCTAGGAGTCTCTGATGCGCTCTCTGTTCTATGTGTTGCTACAGTATTTGCTGCATTCCTCAGCTACCGCGTGGTGAACGCACCCTGCCCGTATGAACTGCAGTCGCACTGCATTGGAGAACTCGCCACACGCAAACACACAGTGGTCCGGCACCGGGCAGGCTGACCGAACGCAAAACGGGAACAAATCAAGGCCAGGTATGACCAAGAGGCACAGGTGAGCGGGGGGGGGCAGTGGGGGGTTAAAGGTTCACGAATCAAAAACGCACCAACAACCACAAACAAGCAGGAGGAGCCGGGTTTAGTTTAAGACTCCCGTGTTTTGTTGAATCAGTTCAGACTCCTTCTCGTTTGCCGTGCACAGGAAACCAATAAGCATGAAGGACGGGGACGACGAAGCAAACCAGCGCATGGAGTCGTGGGTTATGATGTCATATATGCGATGGTGGGACATCAGGAGCCGTTTCGGGGGGGCAGGTGCTACATCCTCCATATGGCACACACGAGCAGCAAAAACGAGCAGCAAAAACAAGCTTAAGACGGGACATGTAGAGCAGCCCGGGCCCCAACAACACACCGACTCTTTACCTCCGTGAAGACCCGGGTCAGTTTTAACTTCTTTTCAGGACAAACGTGGGGAACCAAAATAAATTTGTTAAAACTAATGCATACAAACATAAAGAGAGACTCGGTGGAGAAAGGAGGAGAAGGAACAGTGTCTGTCTCTGTGTAACCGCACACTTGTCATCGAGGTGGAATAAGGTGAACACGCGAATAGTAGCTCTTCCTCCTCTGTCTTCTTCTCAAAAGTTCCAAGAACATGTGAGGATTCTTAGTCCACTGT